CTAAGTGCATTTACATTACATAGAAAAAAAAAATCCAAAAAAAAGCATACCCTTATCCCTAACCTAGCTATGCTTTTCCCTATCTTATGAACAGCAGCTACACTTTCCTTCCTCTTACTAAGCATGCAGCTTGAGAATGAATCTAAAATGGATGCTGTCCAGTAGGTGGGAGGGTCTGCTAGGGAGGCTGTGCTGCTAATTGGCTGGAATGTGTCTGCTTACTGTGAGGTACAGGGTCAAAGTTTACTCAATGATGACGAATAGGGGGCGGGTCGAACCGCGCATATGTTCGCCCGCCGTGGCGAACGCGAACATGCTATGTTCGCCAGGAACCGTTCGCCGGCGAACCGTTCGGTACATCACTATTCAACATTCATCAACAATAAGTGTTGTGTCGTCCCTTTGATACCAAAGTGGTCACACGGCAATATTGACCTTTGCAGTATAGCTCATCATTATAAGATGTCTTGCCTCCCCTTATTTTACATTTAGAAAAAAATACATTAGGGTGGCGTGGCAAAAAGAGAGAAATAATGTACATTTACCCGCTCCCACAAGCTGACATCCCACATCTCCACACTCAGAGACTGTTATGGGGCAAAATAATACAAAGTACCCAGAGCCACCGAGAATGCCCGATATCAGGCTTTCATTCGAGAGGCCTACTACACAGGCTCCCCCCAAGATGGCGCTGGAGGCCCAGAGCGAAGGAGAAACCTCGGAGGAGTCCTGAGAAGGGGAAGAGAGGATTGCTACACCGTCAGGAAGCAGTATACAGCCAGACTGATTCAGAGGGGAACTCTTCGCCAGCAACGTGAAGAGACATAAGAAATCTCCTGCAGGACTTCAGGAAAGTATGGCGGGCTGACCTCCAGGAGGCCCAAGCAGACCTGGGTACGCTCAAACACAGAGTCAATGAAATTGAGTCCAGGGAAGCGGCACGAGACACCCAAATGCAGACCACTCAAGACCAACTGGAAACACTGACCACCCAGGTCCAGAAACTTACCCGGACAGTGCTAGACTTTAGACACAGGCGCTGAAACATCCGCATCAGAGGGGTCCCCAAGCAAATTGGAGGGGCAGAGCTGCTCCTCTTCCTGCAAAGAATGTTGGCCTCGATGGGTCTAAAGAGGGGAGAGAGCAACCCGCTGTTGGTGTCCGCGTGCAGGATTCACAAATCAGCGTCGGCACCCACAGAAGCACCCAGAGACCTCATAGCAGTGACAACGGATGTGGCTGCAAGATCAGCAATCATTTACTGCTCCAGAGACATCAGCAACATCAGGTTCAAGGGCAGCATGCTCGCGATCTATGTGGACCTGACGTAAAGGTACTACTGGAGAAAAGGCAGCTGACCCCGGTCACAAAGAGACTGTGAGATGCAAATATAAAATTCCGATTGGGTGTAGATGGAACGCTGGAGGTCCCACAAGGTGACACAATACTAACCTTAGCCTCATCCAGAGACCTGGACACTTTCCTCAAGAGACTGAACCTGACAATGACAAAACCGAGGGAGGCTGAGCTGGCCGGAACAAGTGAGCAAAGTACCCCTAAAGCCAGCACCATGAGACCTCACCAGCCACCACGAGGGGCTGTATACCAGGTGTTTCTGCCTGCTAGTAAGAAGGTAAGGAGACAAGTGGACATGTGAGTGCTAGGGGACAGTCCTTAGAAAGAGTGGAGTGAGTGCATGATCAGACACACTTTAATGCCAAGCTCAGAGTGCTGTCTGCATAGTATGCCTGTAGTTGGCCAGCCTGTATGATTGGCAGGCAGCCTGACATGCATTCACACAAGGTTGGCCTTCCACTTCATTGGGCAGACACGCCAACTTTTTGAGAATGTTCGCCCCTTTCGGCGGTTCTGGTTACGTGATTCGCGACAGTGTCCCACCCTTTTACCCCGCCACTTGATGTCCTGCTTCACTGGACACTGCTATTATGGATTTACTTGAGAGATGAAAGCATACATTAGAGAGAGAGAGCAGCATAGGGTATGTGTTTTCTTATAGCTATATCCTATGAGATTCCCTCCAGCACCGTCTCCATTAGATACATGACGCTTGGGAGATATGACTGTTTTAGTGTTTTCTGTAGATATGATTCTGTAATTAGGCCCATCGTAATTGTCAGCACCAGGCCCAATGGGCTCTTTATCTGGCCCTGGTGGGACTGCATGGAAGCAGTAGGTTGGGATTAGTACAGTGGGTTTGGATCTCTCCCTAATTTATTTTCAATTTCTAATTCTAATTACAATTACAGACTTAATCTTTATAGACCTTCTACCTGGGAAGTAAAATGAGTACATCTTAATGGTGGCTTAAGAAGTTTTATTGTTTTTGCCACAAATGTTGCTAGTGTCCTTTCCTCACTACTGAATATTTACCATATACTGCACTTTAATTGTGGTTATCGTTTTACGCTTATATACCACAGGTGCAGTGTCTATTGCTGAGAGAGATGTTTAAGTG